GTACTAGCGGTGGCCTCCAACCTATAAGCAATGGCCTTCAACCTACTGGCGGTTGCCTCCAACCTAATAGTGATGGCCTCCAACCTAAATGCGATGGCCTCCACCCTAGAAGCAATGGCCTCTGAGCCCTCCTCTTTTGGGATTCTTGGGTTCAAACCTCGAGGAAGATCTCGATGGTGAACAAAGATCTGACAGAAAAAACATGTGACAAGAACCCATGAACGCAGCGTTGAGCAGTTCAGCTTTGGCTCGGTCAAATCACAAATTGCCAACAAAAAGACATAGTTCCAAGCATCAAATCTGTTGAACCTCATCAGAAACCTTGGTTAAACTGGAAAAATTAGGGTGAAAGTTGTTGTGGAGGAACCCTTTCGAAAGCAACTTGCCTTGCCGCCGCGCGTAGCTGCTAGGGGATGATCAATCGGCAAAGCGGATTCTAACCACCCATACCTCCCAGGGTGAAAGAAAAATGAAGCTACTAGTAACAAGTGCCCTACTAGTAGTAACAAGAAGCAACTAGTAACAAGTGCCCTACTAGTAGTAACAAGAAGCTATTAGTAACAAGTGCCCTACTAGTAGCAAGAAGCTAGTAGTAACAAGTGCCCTACTAGTAGTAACAAGAAGCTTTTAGAAACAAGTGCCTTACTAGTAGTAACAAGAAGCGATTAGAAACAAGTGCCCTACTAGTAGTAGCAAGAAGCTATTAGAAACAAGTGCCTTACTAGTAGTAACAAGAAGCTACTAGAAACAAGTGCCTTACTAGTAGTAACAAGAAGCTATTAGAAACAAGTGCCTTACTAGTAGTAACAAGAAGCTGTTAGAAACAAGTGCCCTACTAGTAGTAACAAGAAGCTGTTAGAAACAGGTGCCTTACTATTAGTAACAAGAAGCCATTAGAAACAAGTGCCTTCCTAGTAGTAACAAGAAGCTATTAGAAACAAGTGCCCTACTAGTAGTAACAAGTAGCCATTAGAAACAAGTGCCCTACTAGTAGTAACAAGAAGCTACTAGTAACAAGTGCCTTACTAGTAGTATCAAGAAGCTATTAGAAACAAGTGCCCTACTAGTAGTAACAAGAAGCAATTAGAAACAAGTGCCTTACTAGTAGTAACAAGAAGCTATTAGAAACAAGTGCCCTACTAGTAGTAGCAAGAAGCTATTATAAAGTGCCTTACTAGTAGTAACAAGAAGCTATTAGAAACAAGTGCCCTACTAGTCGTAACAAGAACTATTGGAAACAAGTGCCCTACTAGTAGTAACCAGAAGCTATTAGAAACAAGTGCCTTACTAGTAATAACAAGAAGCTATTAGAAACAAGTGCCTTACTAGTAGTAACAAGAAGCTACTAGAAGCAAGTGCCCTACTAGTAGTAACAAGAAGCTAATTGAAACACGCGCCTTACTAGTAGTAGCAAGAAGCTATTAGAAACAAGTGCCGTACTAGTAGTAACAAGAAGCCTTTAGAAACAAGTGCCCTACTAGTAGTAAAAAGAAGCCATTGGAAACAAGTGCCCTACTAGTAGTAACAAGAAGCTATTAGAAACAAGTGCCTTACTAGTAGTAAAAAAGAAGCTATTAGAAACAAGTGCCCTACTAGTAGTAACAAGAAGCTATTTGAAACAAGTGCCTTACTAGTAGTAGCAAGAAGCTATTAGTAACAAGTGCCTTACTAGTAGTAACAAGAAGCTACTAGTAACAAGTGACTTACTAGTAGTATCAAGAAGCTATTAGAAACAAGTGCCCTACTAGAAGCAACAAGAAGCTTTTAGAAACAAAAGCCCTACTAGTAGTAACAAGAAGCTACTAGAAACAAGGGCCGTACTAGTAGTAACAAGAAGCTAATAGAAACAAGTGCCCTACTAGTAGTAACAAGAAGCTACTAGTAACAAGCGCCTTACTAGTAGTATCAAGAAGCTATTAGAAACAAGTGCCCTACTAGTAGTAACAAAAAGCTACTTGTAACAAGTGCCTTACTAGTAGCAACAAGAAGCTATTAGAAACAAGTGCCCTACTAGTATTAACAAGAAGCTATTAGAAACAAGTCCCTTACTAGTAGTAACAAGAAGCTATTAGAAACAAGTGCCCTACTAGTAGTAACAAGAAGCTATTAGAAACAAGTGCCTTACTAGTAGTATCAAGAAGCTATTAGAAACAAGTGCCTTACTAGTAGTAACAAGAAGCT